GATTAAGTCATTGGACAATTTTTTAAAACAAATAAGTCATTGGACAATTTTTTGGAACATAAGTCCTTAGACATTTCAAAACATGTTAAATAACTCATTGGACTTTCTAAAACCTGTTAGATACATTCTTATGACCTATACAACTGGTTAATGTGGTAAAATAATGAAAAAAGTCCAAAAAAAAGCCAATGGACTTTCATATTTTGAACGATTAAGTCCCTAAACATTTTTTGAACCAAAGAAGTACTAAGATCTATAAAAATAAACAAATATACGAAAAAATTACTTACATTTACGAAAAAATACTTACATTTACAAAAATATTGATAAAATTTATTTTAATTAAAAACAAAATATATTCTCTCAGTGATTTTTCAACCTAAAAATATTTAAAAATAATTACTGATTAAATTTATTTTAATTAAAAATAAAATATATTCCGTTGGTGATTTTTCAAGTTAAGAAAATAGAAAATATTTTGATTAAATTACTGACGGATACGATAAAATTTAATTAAATACATAATTAATTAAAATTCATCGCTAGTGTTTATTGGTATATATACATGATTGATGATTAACTTGAATAATTTTTTTTAAATGTAAGTATTTTTTTTAAATGCAAGTATTTTTTTGTTATATTTGTTTCATTTTATATATGTAAGTATTTTTTTGGTTCAAAAAATGTTTAAGGACTTAATCGTTCAAAATATGAAAGTCTATTGGTTTTTTTTCCAGACTTTTTCATTATTTTACCACATTTAACCAGTTGTATAAATCATAAGAATGTATCTAATAGGTTTTAACAAATCCAATAAGTTATTTAACATGTTTTAAAATATCGAAGGACTTGTTTGTTCTAAAAAATTGTCCAATAACTTGATTATTCAAAACGCTAAAATTCATTGGATTTTTTCCGGACTTTTCCCTATATAATATAAGCTTCAATCTTGACATGGAATACTATATAGTTACTGGTTGCTTAAGTCAATAAATCACTTGAAAATGTAAATAAAGAAAACATAACTTTGTATTTTTCTTTTCTAAATCATAATTGTAGATATTATATCGGTTTCTGTTTTATTCTCTCCAGAAACTGGTTGTCATTCTTATGCTTTGCCAATATTTCTCTCTACGTAGATCTGAAAGTCTTATTAAGATTTATTGTTTCCTAACGCTTACTAAAATCAACAAAACTTAGTAAATCTAATTTCAGTGTTATGTATTATGAAGGTATAAACTTAAAATGTCGTATCAAAGTAATACTTACTTAACTTTTTATGATATATAAATTTAATTATAAAACATTGATTAAGATATTTGAAGTCCTATAAACCTAGCTAATTTTGTCGTAGTATTTATACACGAAAGTAATGGAATAAAACAGATACCAATGATTGGACCATCCCATACCCCTAGGACCTCAAAGTAGTTATGGTTTCAGCAAGATCCAAAACACACATCTAAAACTCTTTGGATGGTGTTATAAATTGCACAATATGTTACAATTCTACTAAATGCCACAGCGCGCGCACACACACACACACACTCTCTCTCTCTCTCTCTATATATATATATATGATATCAAAGATTTCTCGGATACATTTATAGAATCTCTCGAAGACATGCGAAATTTTTTGTAAAGATGAACTCAACCTGCAATTGGCAATTGGGACGGGACAATGACATATGATATATATATATATATAAACAACAACCTTATTACATGTGATAATACTTGTGAGGAGGCTTAGTGATGTAAGGCCAACTTGGCCCGCAACCAAGATCGCATCAAAAATCGTTCGCGTCTCTGATTTAGTATCACATGTGATGGAATAATAGTATCATATGTGATTGTTTATAGTAAAAAAAATATTTTCGCGTTCCGAAGTTCCCAAACTTTACATACCAATTATAATATAGATGAAAATCATATATGTTGAGAATTCACCCGAATTTCATGCAACACAATGGAGAAAAAAGTTATCTGAATTCATGGTTATTTCTAGAAATGAAAGAATCTTTATTTTCCTTGCAAGTGCATATTTTGGGTGAAAAATTGATTGTCATACATAAAACCACCAAAATCAGGACTATTTTGTATTTTGAGTATTCCCGAATGTTGTTCGTCATCTCCACCATTTTGAGAAGGAGATTATGCCCCCACCATTCAAGATAACTCAACCCTATTCGTCCCATCATTTCTCCACCATTCCCTTTCCCTCCCTGCAAACAAACATTAAACTTGAAAACCCCCCCAACAAAATTCCCCAATTTTATCAATAACATGACCTCTGGACTTGTTCTCACAACAACTCATCTACCCTTCAATTCTAATGCAGATAAGTTTCCCCAATTCTACGCGACTTGTTCGTCTCCAAGATTTCGAATTCTTTGTTCATCATCAGGTCCAGAGCTAACCCTACCCACTGGTAAATGGTAATCTTTGTCGTTGAATTAAATTGCGTAATTCTGTTGTACATGATAATGGGTTTTAAATGATTCTATGGAAATTGGAAAGAAGCGATTTTGATCCATAACAAACAAAATCCTTTGAAGTGTTTATGATGCGTCTTGCTTTTAGGTTTTAACTTTTAAGTTGTAATCTTAGCGGGTGTCATTTACTGCCTGTTGACCACCACTCACCGGGTAAGAGGGAGGGATGCGGTTTACCAATACTCTCTGACCCACAAATATGCTGATTCAATTAGTGTTAAGGGATTGTTTGTTTGCCTCTTAATAATTCCATTAAGAGACAACACTGAGATTAACTAAATTAATCTTGTTTGGAAAAATAAAATAAAAATGGTTCTAAAATCTTCAAAATAATTTTGTATTTGGGCCCCTCTCTCTCCCTTTACCATTCAGCGCCTAATTTCATTGTAAACAATTACCAAACAATTAAATTTTATTTTGCACTATATCATAAGAGTCTCTTAATCATTCTACACCAAATCATTCAGTAACTATCAAACAACCCCCAGACTACACTCTTGGTTATCTCTTACCCAATTTGAGTTGCCCCAGCAATCTCGCAGTGGCAAAGCGCGGGTGTAATCCTTATGTGTGAGGTCTCGGCTTTGAGCCTGGTCACCACCCTTTATGGTCTGTGATCTGCGTGACTTACCTCCCTTATGATGATTGTGGGAGAAGTAAAAGTCGGGGCACCTAGAGGGTAGCGTATACCCTTTTTTTAATTCAATTTGTGTTGGGTAAACGGCCTCGATTACTGAAAAATAAGACTTGATATGAACTCTCATATATGGGGATTATTGCCTCATATGGCTTATATGCAACCATTATAGGGACAATTGGAAATGATGGTTTGGTGACGGGTGGTGCCTACGATTTCAGTAAAGCAACAACTTCCGTTACACACAAGTTACTGTCGGCCCCGAAGCAAGTCACTCTAGTAAGGCATGGCTTAAGCACTTGGAATGATGAAAGCAGGGTTCAGGTTTGTTATCCTTCATCTTACCTTCAATCACAAAATAGGGAGATCTTATAACGGTGACGATCAATGATAAATTTAACTTGCATACCTTTACTATCGTAACATTTAGATTGATTCCGCTGATTATTATACGTTCAGGGAAGCTCAAACTCGTCCATCTTAACAGAAACTGGAATCATGCAAGCAGAAAGATGCAAGAAAGCTTTGGTAGACATACACTTTGATCAATGTTTCTCGAGTCCAATTTCACGAGCCAAGGTTCCTATGAAACTGTTGTTTTAAGTGAATTAATCACACATAATTGTATTCTAAAGATAACGTTGTTGCAGTCGACTGCTGAAATCATGTGGGCAGGGAGGGAAGAGTCCTTGATCTTTCTTGATACCCTGAAGGAAGCACATCTATTCTACCTTGAAGGCATGAAAAATAGTCTGCATATACATTTTCAGAACTATTTACTTGTTTCTGTATGAAAACTCTACATATTTGATATTATAAGGGGTCGTTTACGAATACAGATTGGTAAGCGTGCAGTCTGGGTACATATTGACTGAAATTGGTTGTTTACCAAGTGTTTTGTAGTAAGTGATTACTGATAATATACCCTTATAATCTTGTGGTGACTCGGTAAGTGAACTTAATAATGCTGATAGTCAGATCAGTCTTTAGGTAAACTAGCTGATGCTGACCGAGTCAGCACTCCTCTAAGTGTGGATCGAATTCAGATTAGATTAACTCATTATATGTCGAGTTTGGTATGCATTGTGTGAAATCGATTGTTTCATGTTCGATATTTTTAATCATAATAAACGAGTTTCAGTATTTGGAGACAGAGGACGCTAGGCGAATATATCCAAAGGAGTACACAAAGTGGAGAGGAGATCCGTCGAATTTCCATGTAAATGGCATCTATCCCATTCGGCAACTATGGGACACTGCAAGCATCGCTTGGAAGGAAATCTTGTTCACACCTGTAAGAAAAGCTATATCGTCATTTGCATTTGTCTATCATACTAATCTGTGACGGAAACAGTCACTCTACCCTTTAGGGTAGAGGTCAGATCTACGTACATTTTACCCTCCCTAGACCCCACCTCCGGGTGGGAAATATTGGGCTCGTTTGGTTCAGTTTACCTACATGTCACATGGAAGCCGTACCATTTGGGATTTGGGAGGTCATTTATCGTAGTGTTCTCATTTTCCGTAGCTTCAAACTAAAATAACCTATTTCCCCGTTGTGAAGTCCATGTCATCACCTTTATGTTTAGACATTACAGAAGGGTATTTTAGACATTTGATCATCAGTCAAACATATTTCTGAAAGTATGTGTTGCAATCTTCATTGGATGGAGATTATAACCGTTGTGGCTAACAAAAAGTCCGTTTTTTAGGGGGAGAATTTTCTTGTTGTGACCCACAAATCAATGTTACGGGCGCTAATTTGCGCTGCTCTTGGACTAAGCCCAGAGAGGTACGTATTCTTTTGAGCTTGGATCCCGAGTCATGGAAACTGTTGCTTTGCAAAAAGCTAAGAAGCCCTTGGGGTTCGTCCTCTAGGTCGTTAGTTTGAATCTCTTCAGGGCCACAACTGGGGAATGCTCTGGCTGTTATATTTAGGGCCACATGAGATTAATCGAGGTGTGCATAAGTTGGTCTGGACACCTACAGTTAAAAAAAAAACTCCGTGGTGCACTAGGGTCACCATGTTTTGCAATATCACGAAACCGAGTGTTTGTTTTGTGGTTTAGGTTTCGGGCGTTTGATGTGAATAATGGGGGAATATCGGTGTTTAAATTCAACAAGCAAGGGGAAGCCATGCTTCAGTCTTTGAACATGACGGCTCATATGTACACGGACCACACGTATCTTTATTGAACACGATCTTTTATATCTATGAATACGAGCTATAGATTGAAGCCATCAAGAAGAAGTGCTCGAGATACCGATGATTGTGCTTGTATCTAATCCTTATGAGATTCTAGTCGAGTCGAGTCGAGTCGAATGGGTAAATTGTTTAGGGCCCTTAAAATATAGGATCGAATTCATTTCATTCCTTGGTAATAAAACTATATCCACAAACCAACCGCACTTGTTATTATTGACGAATATGTTACAAGGTAAAAATGTTACAAACTGTTAAAACTCCAAATTGAAAAACAGCAGAAACCCTATATTTTACATATCACACGTCACACATCACACATCACACATCACACATCACATCCCTATTATAGTCGTATATTTGGGGCAAATAGTTGATTACCTTATAGAACGTTATTTTTGCACAGATGTCGTCCTTCTTGCACGCTAGCTATATTATTTGATTACTTACCATGCCAAGTTACTAAATTTGCGCAATCAAAACCCTTTGATGTAAATGCTTCCACGAGTTTAGGGACGAGCTTTGCGAGCATGATCTTGAAACCGGTAGAATTACCCTTCTGAGCTTCGAGCTCAACGGGTTGGCTACCAAACGCACACCCTATTGGAACCCCTTCGAGATAGGCCTTACAAGCCCTCAAGATATGCATGCAGCGTTCGCGGAAGTGCTCCTCCACGAGCGCCTCAAAATGCTGCATTATTTCGCCAACAATAAGCATTAGTCATAAAAAAAACATAGAATCGGCAGTTTTGACAAATTAGCTGATAAGTTTAATAAGCTAGCTTTTGGCTTGTAACTCCCCCAACCCAGAGCAATAGAGTGTCGCAATAATTTCTAATTCAATTTAAAATCATGGTGAAAGTTATTCGTCGTCTACAACTTTGAACTTATAAGATTCTCACAGATCTATTTTTATATCCAAGTGGGACGGGTTGTTACATGGCTAATAACCTAGTTGATAAACTAGTCATGTTTGGTAAAAACTAGCGTGTATGACAATGTAAAATAACCTAAAAGTACATGTTTCAAAATTAATTGGAAAAATATAAGCGCATAATTGGAAAAAAAAAAAAAAGGTCCAAGTTTATGGCTAACCAAACGGTTTTTTTAATAATCTCAAAAAATAAGCCAACTTTTGGTTGCCAAATACGGCAAAAGTAGAACAAAAACGATAGTTTGTACCTTAGGTGGCTTGCGAAGTATATATAGCATCGATTTACAGCTCATGAGAAACGCATTCTCATTGTAGCTACACGAATTCTTTTCCCCTTCGATACTTCCGACCTGCTGATCGTAGCCGGCTTCATTGAAATACGGCTTCTTGTTAAGGACCAAAGCCTGAAGAGAGAGCAGAACTTGAAGAATCGTGGACCCGTTAGGGTTCCACGTCTCGCTTCCGGTGCCTGTCCATGTGTTAAGAAGGCTAAGACACACCCTTCCCGACTCGTATAGATTTGGGTTGACTCGAAGCCCACCAGAGTTGTAATGCACCATCTGCATGACACCAAGCAACCACGTAAGACACAAAAATGCAAGCCATGAGCAACAAGACCCATCGAATTAAAACATGGTTCGGTTTTCTTAACGCATACTAGTGCTTTGTTAAGGAGCCACAGTGAATGGGTCATTGGCCCAACTGTACCTGCGTTACTGGTAGAGCCCAGCCTCCTGGGAGGTCAAAGGCCTCAAAATCACCACAGATGAGGAGGGTGAGTGAGTATTCATGGTATATAAATATTATGATTTAAAGAAATGAAGTTACCGGAGGCTCGTGAGGATATTCCGAAGGAAGGAAAATGTCGAAGAAGAAAATGGCATCGTGATACGGAGTTCCCGGTGCCCCAACCACCGCGGCCTGTATTAGATCCATCCGTTCTTCGAAGACACGAACATATATTGTTTCTGTCAAATTAGACATCAAGATTCAAAATTGCTACGAGAATTGATAGTGTCGTTATTACTTATGATCGAAGAAAATTTTGTAAATTTTAAATGCTAGAAATGTTCATGGTAAGCATCACTAGTGATGTGTAATACATACGTTAATGGTAAATTGCATGAAAATGCAACATACTTTGGTTGATTCCTGTTGGGTAATCGTACTTTCAAAACCTTCATTTTGGTACCTTGACAATTTAAACACTTTTAGATACCTGATTTACATGTGAAAATACGTATAAAAAGCAACGTATTTCATTCCTATTTTGTGTAACATATTTTGGTCTAAATGTTTGAGATATTATATCCGAGATACCAAAATGAACGGCGAAGTGTTTGCGACGATCTTTCTTCACATTTTGCAAAGAGACCGTTTGTGAGATTCGTATCCTACAAAAAACCGACAAGACGTCTCACCTGGAAGATCGTTCGCCAGAATGTTCCATTCTTGCTGAACTTTCTTTAGCCAACATTTCTTCACCTACGAGGAATCGTAAATAGAATTCAGGTTCGAATTCCATAGACAATTGTGAAAATATGTAGATCCCCATAATATTACTCTTTAAAAAAGCACTATAAATAGCATCGGTTAACAGGGAAACACAAGTCTTTTTCGAAGTTAAGCTCTCACCTGACTCGAAATCGAGCCCTTTCCAGGACTATCAATGAAATGGTGGTTCGAGCAGTCGTTGACCATATCAAATTGCCGAATTTCTTTCATAGTCTTGGTAGCCGATGAAACCGAAACACCCTTCGACTCTTCCGTTTCTTTGAATTCTGCCTCCGTGGATGTCTCTACGAACATCTGATCATCTTCCTCACTGTCAAAACCAGATACCGGACCGTTTCCAGGAACATGGTCTGAAGCAACAGGCAATGATGTGTATAGGGGAGATCCAAACAGACGTGTAGCGACATTGGATAAGAACCCGATAGCAGCTCGTGAGACATTAAAAGTAGTAGAATCATATATCGTCTTTAAGCAATCCTTCTCATCATCGTCGGAATCCGACAAATTCTGATTTGTATAACATAAAAGTCAAGTCTTTGTTGCCTATACGCTCGCTACCGAAATAAATGTCCATAACGAAAGAGGCACAGAGTTTCAGAAACGTCAAGTTATTACAATATTTAATTAACTAAATGATAATTTTATTTTTAACAATAAAGGGAGTAATAAATGTAGTTATCTCATGATTAAGGGTAGAACTGGAAAGTAGACAATTACTTTTGAAAGTGGACACTTATTTTGGGACAAACTAAAGTAGAAATGTGGACTCTTATTTTGGGACAGAGGGAGAAATCAATAGAGTAATTAACTCCTCCATCTCATAGTTAAGAGTGAAATCGAAAAGTATGCACTCATATTTGGGACAAACCAAAATAAAACTGTTGACACTTATTTTAGGACAGAAGGAGTATATCTATCAAACATAACAAAATTAAACCAAAGGAACTTGATATATCCACCCAAAGGTGGTGTACGGGAACGGTAAGATATAAGCAGACCTGACCTCTACCCAAAATATAGAGCGGTTGTTTCTGTGAAAGACCCCCGGCTTGTTATGTGTCCTCTCTAATATCTATTGAAACGACAAATGTTGTGAGTGTGCAAGAGGGAACGGGTTGGTTTTACCTTTTCTCTCGAGTCCGGTGTGTGGTTATCATGTTCCGACTTCTCTAGCTTTGGTTCGATATTGTCGTTATTGAGCAATGGTGTAGCCGATATGCCCTCAGATTTTTCCACTCGAAAAATCTCATGAGGAGCAACCTGTATGAGCATCGAATGTCCAATAAGAAACCAACCGAGCAAAAGCCAAACATACGGAGGAAAACCAAGAGTTATGTGTTGGCCAACAAACTAACCAGCTAAGTTAGCTGTTAGCTAATAAGATAGATGACAATGTAAAATGACCTAAAATGACATGTTAGCATATAGCCAACTATACAGAGGTTTTTCAATAAGCTACCTAATGGTTGTAAAACATGGCCTCAGAAGAAAATCCGCACCTTAGACGTAAAACCAGCAGCCCATTTCACTTCAACGACGCCGTTTTTGAAGCCAATCACGGTCCCAATGCGAGCTAGGTGACAATTGCTATAAAACTGTTCAGTATCTTCGAAATTCTGCCCTTTATGAAGCCTGAAAACTAGATCACCGTGACTATACGTATAGTCAGGGTGCTCGATCAATTCATACGCACTCACTGTTTCCTCCATATCTTCCCCTTCGGTTTCCGATTCCCACTTCACCTTCACGGTTTTTTCCTTCGACTCCACAACCTTCACGACGCCCCATTTGCGATCATTTTGATCATCACATGTTCCTTTCTCAAGAACCAACTGATGAGGCCAAAAATCATGAGCATCAAGTGTGTTAATCGGACCAAGAGAACTCGAATCTAACCCATATGATTCACTTCCATCTTGCCACAAAACATCAATTTTCGATCTTATCTTCGCAATCACAAAGATTTCTTGAAATTCCGGTGACTTACTTGATTGGTTATGGACACCCGAATGCCGAATCTTTGGTAGGGTGCACCAATCGCCAATCTGCCAATGCGAATGAGTGAAACACGAAATGGGAGTCAAGTCTTTCGAGCTTTGTAAAGATGGTGGCACCGGTTGGCTCTCTGAACCGAACAAAGCGCAGCCGAGCCAGGTCACGTAGACCAACCCCGCATCAATAGTGCATACGGTGCCTTCATCGTGTTTGACTTCCCGGGATCCACAGAACCATTGGGTTGACTTTGAGATGGTCGAGTTCGCGAGTTTGACTCGTTGTCCAGGATAGTAAGGGTAATCATCGACCATATCTGGAGATACCGGTACGAGCTTCTCCATGCCCGTTATTGTAAATTCACATCTCGTGCCATCGTCAAACAAGACGGTCACGAAATCCGTTATCTGGTCTGCTTTACCGACCCATGGACCAGAAACTACGTAATCACCCGTCGAGATCGAACGGATCCGTTGGAGTTCTTTGGAGTCGATATCATTTAATTTCTTCTCATTAAGGTTTTCCAAATCCACAACCATTTCGACGTTTGTTACCCGACCCATTTGGGAATATGGATCTTTCAACAAGCAAACAATGTCCCCATGGACATATTTTCGCTCAAACAAAAGAAAATCGTCGATTTTCCCGATGGTTTCTTGAAGATTCAAGAGAATACAGCTCGCTTGTCCACCGTACATAAACTCATCATCTTCTTGATCATCGGAGCTACTGCTCTCGCTGTAGCTATCGAAATCGCTTACAAACACATCCATCACTCCAATCCTTTAAAAGAGCATCAACCATTGATGGGATTAGACCGAAATTAAGATAACAAAAACAAGAGAATCAAAAAATATGGTTTGATTCAAAAAGGTACCTTGTGATATGGAAGTAACTGGTATGAGTAAGTGATAGTATCTTCCAAAGAAATTGGAGATAATTTGCCAAAGGAGATTTGCCCGATGCCCAGAAATGGGGATCAAAGTTTCCACCAGAAATTCTGGTATTGCCAAAGGAGATTTGCCCGATAGATATATATTCAAGAATCTATACGTATAGATAGCCAAATGACCCCAAAAGGAACTAAGTTCGATTGGAAGTCACAATATGTAAATTTGCCAAAGGAGATTTGCCCGGGGGTTAAATCGTTGATTTCAACCAAGTTCTGGTATCAAGTAGCTGAATGAATCAGCCGAAAAGAGATACACATAAAGGATAAAAAGAAGCAAGCACTAAAGGGAATCGAATTGCAGGTTATGCCATGGAGATTCGCAAGATGATCTACTCTCTAGCAGGAAAAAAGATCTCCATGATCCCTTAGCTTCTGTACCTGTTGAAAGAAAGATTTCAGACCAGTATTTCTTCATCAATGTAGCATAAATGTCTGGATTCACAGTTTCTACATGACTCTGTGTGTGTGTGTGTATATATGTATGTATGTATGTATGACTTTCTTCATCATCTAATTTAGAATATGAGGCAATTGTGTATATATGTATGTATGTATGACTTTCTTCATCATCTAATTTAGAATATGAGGCACTTGTGTCAGAATAATGGTGGGTTTCGTGTAACTCTAAGTGATTTTGACAATCCATTAATCAAACAACATAGAAAGATACGTAATTCACACAGAAATATCCTCTTTTCCTACTTTTGTATACGCAGAAAGCAAACAACAAAAGAAGAAGCAAAATTGAAGAAAGATAGCGTACCATTTGCAGCCAAGAACTATGATAGAGGAAACCATGAAATCCTAATTGCCCCCTTTAATCCTCTCTCTCTCTCTCTCTCTCTCTCACACACACACACACACACACACACACTGAAACAGACACAGGCACAGATTAAGCCAAATTTTGTATCTTGAAATTGTGCGTTACAGAGACACAAAGGAAATTGTATTTGTGGGGAGTTCAGAGAGGTAAGGTTCCTCTCCAAATCCCCTCTATCACGCCATGATCGAGCATATCAAACATTTTGGTTCTTCAGCTTCTGCTTCTCTCTCTAGAATGTAAACTTCTGCTTCTCTCTCTAAAATGTGTTGGTTGTTAAATTGAAAAGGATGGAAGTGAGATTCTGAATGGGGAAGAAGGGATATAAAGACAACAATTATCCGATTATAAGAAGAGAATATACCCTTCTTTCTTCCTTCTATTCTCCATCCAAATCCCAAACTATATCTTCCTTTTGCCTCTTCCTCTCTTTCATATCTTATAAACCGGTAATAAAGGTAAATTACCAGCTGCTTTTATTAAATACTTATTTCGGTAAGTGTTTATGGGTAAAATTTAATACTATTATTTATTTACTGGGTAAGATTTTAGTCAACCAAATCGACATCGTATATAACAATTTACCCAGTAAACGTTTATTGTGGTAAAAGTCGTCGCAATAAAAATTTGGAATATAACCTAAACAATCGATTATCAATTAAAATGAGTATGAAATAAGGAAAATAAAATTGGGTCATTAATCAAGGAAAACATTATCATACATTAAATATGAATAAGATGTTGAAGGATTACGTATCATCGTCAAAAGGAAGTGACTGAAAATAATATTTTTCAAGTATTAGTTATTATCGTAATGAAAGTTTTTTTTAGGGAAAAGTTTAGAAAAACCTAATATACTTTAGTGTTTGGAATGATTAAGTCATTGGACAATTTTTTGGAACAAATAAGTCATTGGACATTCCAAAACCTCTTAAATAACTTCTTGGACTTTTTAAAACCTGTTAGATACATCCTTATGATCTATACAACTTGTTAATGTGGTAAAATAAT